GTCCCAAGATTTTGGATATTGTTAGACTTGTAAACAAATGGCTTTTACATGAAAAGAAGGTGTATGTTCTAGCTGATGATTTGTTTTTCACCATCACAAAAAACAGTGCTGTGTATGACTTTTTTTCTCTTGCAGAAATGCCTGTAAGATATTCACAAATGCTGTTCTTGACTGGTGAAGTTCTTACTTCTTAGATTTATCAACTTTTAACAGAAGCTATCCTGTTATTTTGGATGTAAAAAACATTTTAAAAAGATAAAATAAATAAAACAGTGGTGACCATGAATTTTGATCTTTAATTGTACACAGTATCTTTGTCCTTTCAACTGTTACAGTATAGAAGTAAAAAAATTAATCCATCATGAAAGTATGATTACAAGTACAAGTAATAAATATTGTTAAAGTACAAGAAAATAATTGGGGATACCCACTGTTAGAGTAAAAACAGGTAAACATGGAAACTTAATGGTTAATATTAGGCTGGTAACGTACGTCTCATTATCCATAATAAGTACAGTAGGCAAACATTTGAGACTTGATGTCATCTTAAGAATAGGTTGGTATACTGTATTAGAAATTTGATTTTAAGAGAATATTGAAAATATACTCAGAATTCCTTTAAGCTTAATATTGTTAACTAGTAACATAGTTTGCTTTAAATTTTAAAAAGTGCCAACTAGTCATAAAAACTGGTCCATATCTATGAAAAATTAGATGACTTCTCTATATTGAAGCACCATCTTTAGAATGTTAGCACCCCATACAGTTTGCTCTAGGTGACAGAAGAATGAATTTTTTGGCTCTCAGTTATCAATTTACCATCTTTTTTTCCTTTTAAAATAATTTTCTAATAAAATATGACTTTTCTGTGGCATTCTTCTTTTTAAGAATTAAGAAACTTTAAGTTTTCCTCTTATCATAATTAATTGATAACTCAGTTGTGCTTCTGTCAGCTAAGCAAACTAAGAATGTGGAAAAGTGTACACAGTCCACTTTACAGTGAGCTGAAAGTTAATGCATTACCTCCTGTAGAGATAGTTGTCGTGTCATTGTTTGAATTCAGCCTGTTGTTTAAATCTATGCTATTTTATAGTTCTTATTTTGTATCATTCGTCACTGCTGTTGACAGTCCTACAGCAGAAGAATAGCCGTCTTATTCCTGATAAATGCCAATTAATCCATTAGCTTTTTATCTTCTGAAGCTGTTTCTGAAGCTCATGAAATTTGATTTTATTTTCATTTTCCTCAACTGTATCCTGAGTGTTTTCCTCTTCCTCCTCCTCCTCCTTTGGCAGGTACTCTTTTGCCTTCTCAAGCCACGTCTCAGTCATGAAGATATTCTTTTGTGCGATCGAGCACTCTGCCAGCGCCGTTATTGTCTGGAAGTTTGCGTCTGACTTGTGAGCTGTGTGAAAATGTTGCATAGCTTCTTCCAAATTTCCCAATTCCATTTTCAGGTAGCCCAAGATCAACATGTAGAAAGTCTCTGTTGGGTTTTTTTGTTGTAATTGAGAGAAGGTCTCTGTTATGGCGTGCCTGATTCTGTACCTTGCCGTATGGCCGATTTTTAGAGTATGAAGGGATTTATGCATGTGACGTAAACAGCCTTTCATATCTTGAGCGATGGCCAAACTTTTACTCCATATCAAGTGAGCTATAGAGATGTCCTCGAGATCCTTTTTGTCAATAAGATCCACAGCTTTCTGAAAATGCCAATTTCCTTGATCGATGTCACTGTGAATAATTTCAATGTAAAACTGGCCAAGAACACTGTGCGCTGCTGGCTCTGAAGGTTTTAGCTGAGTAGCAGTGGTAAGATTTCGAATCACTTGTTTGATGGTATTTTCTTCGTTTGGGATTTGTTTAAGCACCATGCCTTCACGCATCACAGTCCCATAGCGAACAAGCAAACTGTAGTTATTGGGAAATTTTGAAAGGGCTTCCTTTACCAATTCCACAGCTTGCTGATATTTTTGCACCTTTCTGCTGTAGTTTATCATTGTGTTATACACATAAATGTTACTATTGCTACTGGTGGCCTTCAGTTTAGACTGAGCTTGTTGAAGGGAATAGTCTGGATCAAGCCAGGGGACAGTGTCCTTTCGTTGTTGGATCCATTCTTTCCCGGCTGGTTTGGACATGGCAACACACAATGTGTGAATTATTCGCGCATAACTTTCAGCGTCATTTGGGGCAAGATACACAAGCTCATAAAGATGTTCTAAAATGGTATTAAGGGTTTGCTTAAGATCAGATTCACTTATGTGTTGATGCTGTTGGAGTCTTTCTTCTATGTGCCGTAATTCCATAAGAATCATCTCGGATACTATTTCTTTGTGACCATCAGAATCCCGGTAAAGCTGAGAAAAACATATCCGTGCATTAAGAGAGTACTGACTTCCTAAACGGGCATAACGAAATGCCTCTTCAAATTTTGCCTGTCGAACAGCTGATGGGTTTTCTTTCAGCATTTCCAGCTTAGATAAAATTTCCTGTATTCTTTCTTCATTTTGTTCTTTCACAGCTAACTTACCAAGGCATGCCCATGCAGTTATATTGTTGGGATCAAGTTTGAGAATTGTTTGAAAAATTTCCTTGGCGGCCTTAGCATTTCCATGCACCTTATATTGTAAATATCCACTACAGTTCCCTAAGGCAAAGTCTGTCTTACTGTTTCCTATTTCATTCAGTGTATCCAGTTTTCTAATGGCGTGGGGTAGTCCAGCCTCTTCAGTGCTTGTGTCAAAAGGATTGGGGTAATGGCGTAGTTTTTCATCATATTTGGCGAGATTGATGATTTTCTGGAAAGCTGTTAGCTCTTTCTCTTGAGCACCATCTTGTTTGTTGGGTAGAGGGAGCACATTTTTGTGTTTGGAGAGTTTGTTCCGCCACATTCTTCTGACATATCCGACAGTGTCTTTAACTCATGGTTGATCAGGAGTGTCACAAGTCAGGTAAACCCCATGGTTCGTCCTGTAGCAAATGTGTGGACAACGTAGATTTCTCTTTTCGTGAAAAAAAGAACATAAATCTTATTGAATCGTCATAATTGGTTGTCCAAGACTTTGTCTTGACCTCCATATCAAAGAAAATAGTACAATCATTTAGCTCTGTTGCTATTTTTCTAACCGCACAATATTTATTGATGCAATTGATTACAAATTCTTCACAGGTCTTTTCATATGTTATGTAAAGGTATTGGAGAAAAAAAGACTGTCTTGGCCTACTGGGCATGTACAGCCAAATGCAGATTAGAACTGACAGCAAATTGCTTTCTAAAGGCAACATTTACTTGTAGAAAAAAATTGTAAACTCCTGCAAATTTTTTGCAATTCCTGCTCATGTTGATTTCTTTAGAGCTGGACCCTGGGACCCGAGATATCAATACATTGAACCTCAGGTTGCCAATACAGACAGACACCTTTGTTCATGTTTGTAGACTTTGGATAACCTTTCTTTCAAACTGTATGGTAGTTATTTTCAATTTTGACCCTATCAATATCCCAATATTCTCTGTTTTGGCCTTGTCAATATTCCAATATCTGCTTTACAACATAGGGTTAATTTATCGTAAAATTAGCTTTGAGATTAATTGTAGCGAGCACGACAGAATTGATTGATAAGAGATAAACAGTGTCTTGTTAGAAGGATAAACTTCTATATAGCTGTCTGAATATTGTTAATGGCATATATAGGATTAAAGGATAAACATGTTACAATAATAGAAACAGTTATTACTGATACAAATTTGGATTTGATCAACACTATAGGGAATTGTTCCAGTAACGACTTCTGAACTTGCGTAAGGCAGAGAAGAAACTGTACTGACATGTTATAAGAAATATTTGTTGATTAAAAATGCATCTTCAGCACTTCGATGTAAAAGCGATACGAGTTGATTTAAAAATATATAGATATATGACAGATATTTACCTGTGTTATGTGCTCCGGATATTCCTATTTCATAATGTTGAATATAGTCGGTGATGTAATGAATATTTACTTATCCCACATTGGTGACACTTCTGATTTTAGGTTCCATCAGTTATGTTGCCTGGGGAATATTGAGATTACAAACTCTCATCTCTTCGATAATGATAACTCCATCTGCATATGTTTTGGGTTCTTTCATATATTTTGTCTTTCGAATTTTTGAAATGCTTTTCCCTCGTCTCTAGGGGCAGAGGCTTATTACACCTGTTCTTCACACCTCTCCTGCTGATATTTCCATTAAAGTAATATAAGCAGTGGTGGTATTTTTAAAAATACTTGAATTTCATTTCTATGTTGACATTGTGGCATAACTGAATAAAAGAGAACAATAAATTGTTGGTCTTTTCTTTCTTCTTGGTTTGTTTTGAAAATAAGCGATTGGAAGTTTTGAAAACTTTAGAGGAGCCCTCAAATAATCTGTACAAAAGATTAAACAAATTTATTCCGTATCGGCGAATGTTTTGAAAATTGGGATATATAGTAGGTCTGTGTAAGTTTTTTTGCTTTTATTACACGTAACATTTGACTCATTCAGTATGGTCAATTATTCAATATATTACGAATAAGCCAGTTGCAAGTGAAGTGTACAAGAAGTTGACATGCCAACCGTGACCTTTGTATTTATCTATGCCAAAATCTGCTTTATTATGGAAAAGAGCAGTGAACCCAATCAGGCTTTTAATTATAACTTAAAAGATTAGATGTTATATGATACATTTTTTGCTTTTCTGCAGCATATTTATAATTATGTTTTTTCTTTTTATTGAAATTTGTTTATTCATGTTGATTCATAAAAGATTTTTTTAAGGATATGTTGAAATTGTGATTAAAGCACACTATTGGTGATATTGTTAAGTTTTTCTCTCAAAACATTTTTACATTTTTCTGGCCTTATTATCTGACAAAAATAAGAAATCTAGTGTAAGATCATGTCATTTAACTTTTGCAATGCAGGTTTTGACTTTTGATAACTTTTTTTGAATAAAAGTTCTTCTTTTGTTTAGGGTAAGATAGCTGATGGCTTATCAATTCACAGCAAGGCCTCGCAGGAAAGTTTTCAAACCCTGGTCAACTACGTGGAGAAACCCCAGTAAGTGTTGATATTAAAAGTGAAACACACTGCCTGTGTGAAGGTATCCATCACATGTTCAAATAATAAAAAGGTTCCTCAAGTCATTAAGTCACTGTGGTTTGTTATATTCACATATTATTTGATGCACTTAGTGTTGATAATGAGTAATAAAACATAAACAAAGAAAGAATTGTAAATTTCAAGTGGATATCTTATTTTTTGGGGGAAATCAATTTTACAGTAGGTGTCAGAACAGAATATACCTGATTATAAAACACTGTAGGAAAAGATGTTAAGTTTAGGCTGAACACAATAGAAAGTGAAAAATTACATAAGTGATAATTAAAAAAAAGCAACTGCATAAGTTCAGTTTGATTTTTCTAACCTTATAAAAGTGACTTTTTTTAAATAAGCAAAAATAGATAGAATATATTTCCTAATTATCTTCAGATGCAGACATGCAGCTATCGCCAAATACTTTGAAGATGACAGACCAGATTGCAATCAAGGCTGTGACTACTGCAAAAATCCGCGTCAGGTGGAAAAAATGGTGGACATGCTACAGAAAGGGGTTTACGCCAATGCCAACAAGGATCGCCGTAGCAGGACCATGATGGTGACGGAGTCTGCAGGCCCTGATCCTGATATGTATGGAGGGGGGAGAAAAGGAGCTCGGAGGTGTGCATGAGGCGTTTTGTTGTTTGTTATTTCAGTTTCAGGNATAGTTTGGTAATTCTTTCTGGCAGTTAAACAGTTTTTTGTGAAAATTAACTTTTTCAGATATTGGCATTTCAAGGTGTGACTGAAGTTCTATGGGCCTGAAGACCTTTGCGATTCACATTTTCTGAATATCCATGATACTAATAATTTATTATTAAAAAATGATGGTCATTATGCTGTTAAACATTATGTAATTTTACATCAAAATTTGAATAAACCCCTATTTTGGGCACTGCTCCCATGATGACCATATAAGGAAAACCATGTCACTTACTGTTCTCAAACTTACAGGAAAGAAACATATGGGACTAAAATACAGCTTCAGTGGGCAATGCAGTCTGTTTGGTAAATTTTTCTGGTAGATAAACAGTTGTTTTTTTTTTTGTGAAAATTTAATTTTTCACATATTGGCATTTTCAAGGTGTGACTTAGAACCTCCACGGGCTTGAAGACCCATGCTAGTCACATTTTCTGAAAACCCAAGATATGTATATTTTATCATTAAAAATTGACGGTCATTATGCTGTTAACCATTATGTAATATTGTATCAAAATAGAAGAAAACACAAGTTTGGGTGCTGCTGCCATGATGACGATTATGGGAAATCCATGTTACTTATGATTGTCAAAATTTCAAAAAAGAAACACGGGGCTAAAATGCAGCCTGAGTTTGAAAAGCAATCTAATTGGCTTCTTTTTCTGGAGGTTATACATTTTAGTGAAATATTCATTTTTATCGTCTTGGCATATTCATTGTAGGACTCGGAGCTCCCATGGACATGAAGCCGAATGGTAATCAAATTTTCTACTTGTCCATGCTATTTATAGTCAGTAATCAAAAATTGGTGATAACTTTTCTGTAATTTATTATGAAATGACAAATCTTTTTGCCCATTATGAAAAGAAAACTGTTACTTATTATCATTTTTAACTTACAAGTATGATTTTTAGGATTGGCATGCAGTTCAAATTAGAAAGCCAGCTCAATTGGGTTATCATTTATTATTGAATTTATGCAATTTGGTGGGAAATTTTCATTTTTCTCATTCTGGCATTTTCTAAGTGTGAACTTGAACCCCCATGGACCTGAAGCCTTATGCTTGTTACACATTTTACTTATATTGGTATTACCTGTAGAGCATAAATAAAATTTGATGTTGAAATTGCAGTTAAGCATAATGTATTCTTGCATCAGAATTGACAGTAGCCTATTTTGTGCATTGTTTTTTCTACTTTTTGTCTGTACATTTGACAGCTTTGCTGCCTTGTTGGTTGTTAAATGTTATTCTCCCCCAACAAAATCCCTTGAATGAATATGAAAATTGCTTTCTTGTCTTGCTTGGGATGCAAACAATGTCCCACGAAAAATGTGAAAATTGCCTGCTTGTCTTGCTCAGATGTGTAACAATCTCGCATTGATGATCTGCTACTAATAAGGTCCCTTTAACTAATATAAACATTGTGTTCTCTTCTCGCTTGGGTTGCAAACAATCTCTAGCTCAAGAAATGAAAATTACTTTCTCCTCTCGCTCAGATCATGGACAATCATTGGCTGAAGGTAGGAAAATTGCCTTCACAGATCGGGAAGGATCATTCGGTGACAATCTTCTGCTTGCAAGCTTCCTTGAACAAATATGAAACTTGCTCATCTTCTCATTCAGATCACGAACAATCACCCGCTGATGATGATCTTCTAATGAAGTCCCTGAAACTCGTATTAAAATTACCTTCTTGGCTTACTTTAATCATGAATAATATCTGACTGAAAATATGAATATTGCCGTCTCTGCTCGCCTGAATGGTGGACATCTCCAACTCATGATCTTCAACTAACTAAATCCTTTGAACTAATGTTAAAATTGCCTTCATGTCTCAATCTGATCACTAACAAACATGAAAATTGCCCTTTCAGTTTCATCCAGATTTCTCTTTGCTCATGCTTATTTGAAGCCATTCAAATAACAGCTGGATGGTTTTACTGGGAAAAGCCTTTGCTACATTATTATTATTATTATTACTTGTGAAAAAAGAATTCTCAGTATTATTATTTATGATATCAGTAGCAGGGGCGGATTGAGGTCGTCTTCTAGGTTTTCCGGAAGACAGTCAGATTTTCAAGTTTACATTGACGGGTATCTAGTTTTTTCTGTCGGAAGAAGGTCAAAAATGGAGGATGGATCAACAAAGAAAATTTGGAAGACTGTCAGAAAATATCGCTGGATCCACCCCTGAGTAGACATGCTGCAAGTGCAGTGGTCTTGGCAGAGGTGTTGCTAAAGATCTATTTGCATTTAGCTTGGTGATCTTGTTTATCAAGGATATCCGGTTGCAAACCACATGCTACTTACCATAACAAACATTGCATTCACTTGTGCTCTCAGCTAGACCGATTGATTTTTATAGGTGTTTTGATATTTTCTTAATGCTCAATGGATGAAATGTGGTGTAAATGTTTTTCATTGTAGCTTATATAAATATAATGAAAGGTCAAAAATTCCTGCCTCACAGGCAATGCAAAAACCTGTTTTTAGAATGTTTAATTCTTAAGGAAGATAGATCCAATGTGTTTGAAATTAGAGACGCTACTAAATTAGCAATTGATTGCACCTTCTTAAAGATACTTACCTTGATACTTGTGGATAAATAAAAGTTTCTGTAAGTGGGTTTACTGCCATTTTGCAGGACCACACTGTACTGTATAAATATACAATATTAATTTCATTGTTAAAAACCAGCACAACAATTGTATACATATTAATATTTTATAATATTTGCAAATTCAATAGTGCCACATCTTAAAGATTGAGTGTACAAAAATAGAAAACATTTTTGTTTGCGGAATAACCCATTATAATTAAGGTCAAGGAAAACTGCAGGTAGAGACTGCAAAGTTTTGGTTCTACTTATAACATGATGTAGTGATCGAACCATTATTAGTACTGATAGTTTACATTTGCATGTATATGACCCAGGGAAGGCAACAGTCAGCCAAACATCTTCAAGCATGATTGGTTTGGAGGATAATCAGTTCTGGTATGGGGTGGAATTTCAATCCATGGGTGTTCTGACCTTCATGTAATAATAATAATAATAATAATAATTTATTGAGCACTGAAATGTTTTTACATTTAGAGGCTCTCTAGCTACTATACATTATACATATGGAAAGATAGTAAGGATAGTAAGTAAATGAAAGAAAAAAAAATTATACTTATATAATGTTACACAATATACATTCTCTTAATATCCAGGTGAGATGCATGAAATCATTTGTGCACTTCTAGTTAATTACGTTTTTTCATAATTTTACTTACAAAATTCCCTACTGCAATTGCACTCTGTTCAGTGGGTGGGTTTAGAATGAC